ACTGTGACATTGATGAGAATGGTTTCATGCAGTCCTGGTGGCCATGGGAGAGTCCTGTGGCAGGTGGAGGAATGAAGCGGGGGGCAGGTACGGACAGTAGGCGCGTCTTGTAAGAGGTGAAGAAACAGGTTGTAGAGCAGACACCAGATAGGTTTGAAAGAAACATTTTGTCATTGTGATTTTCATTTGTTGGTTTTAAGGTGGAGGAATCGTATACATGATTGAATGTGGGAAGTAGCAGGTGGAGAAATGTTGAAAAGCCAGGAGAGGAGGGAAGACCAACCCACCCAGACCCAGTGGAGTTCACGTGGAGGTGATAATTATAACTAAGAGGAAAACATCACTTCCATAATGCTAGAAGGGAAAGAGGTAATTGTGAGTGGAGGTGCACTTAAGTTAGATTTGTGTTTAGATGGGTTTTTGGTGTAGGCCAGTGTGTGTTTGTGCATAAAAAGGACTACTAATGGGGCGCCTGGATGGCTCAGTTCGTTGAGTGTCCCACTCTTGATTTCGGCTCAGGTTGTGATCTCAGGGCCCTGGGATCAAGCCCTACGTCAGGCTCCGCACTCAGTGGGGAGTCTGCTGGAAATTCTCTTCCTCTCTCCCTTTCCCTCTGCCCCTCCCCATCTCTCTCTCTCAAATAAATAAATCTTTTTAAAAAACTAAAAAATAAAATAGACTACTTGGACTTTTAATTTGGTTTAAACAATTAGTGTTCAATGTATTAAGGTTATAAATTCAAAAATGCAATTCTTCCTAGGCTTTATATTCATCTCACAAATCTTACTCTATTTGGACGTCTAGCAAAATTGAACAGGCACTTTCAAGGGACTTTTGATGAATGCTTGGTCCTTTTTACCAACTTAAGTATGTTCAAATACTTTAAAACTATGTCTATATGAATGTAATGTATTCCATTTTCTTTTTTAAGCACCTCATTTATCTACTCAAACAAAACCTTGCTGAGTGCATAGGAAGTATTATAAACCTATTAAATGAAATTATAGAGTGGACCTAAAGATTTGTTAGATGTTATAATACCATGCATAAACTTAGGAAGATTTCAACTTAAAATCAGAAGTCTAATCATTTGGGGTGCCTTGGTGGCTCGGTCGGTTAAGCCACTGCCTTTGGTTCAGATCATGATGCTGGGGTCCTGGGATCGAGCCCCGCATCAGGCTCCCTGCTCTGTGGGGGGGCCTGCTTCTCCCTCTCCCTCTTTCTCCGCTCCCCCTGCTTGTGCTCTCTCTCACTCTGTCAAATAAATAAATAAAATCTTTTTTATAAAAGTCTAATCATTCAATTATTCACTTTAAATTGTTTTTTTTTAAGTTTCACTTTAGTTTCTTAAACAATAGTGCAGAAAAGACCAAATATGCATAAAAATATTAATAGCCTGATGTTGATGCTTTAAACCTTTCTATATTTAATTTTAAATATTCCCAGAGTGGAACGATACGTACTCACCAAGGAAGAAAATTGCTTGGAAATAACCGAGGCCATTTTCAAGCAAATATTTTGACAGAACTGCAGGCATCCAGAGTGATTTCCATCTCCCTGAATGTCACACTGAGCCCCTTTTTAGAGCAGTTATGTCATGAGTAACAAAACTTAAAAAGGGTTTGGTCTCTCAGATGTGAGCTGTGGACAGTACCTGATTCTTGATCTACTCAAGGACATAGGACAACCAGGTTGATCTTTGATCTTTTATGACAGGTACTTTCATTTCCATCTAAATGTCAAAGGCCTTCAAATTTAATGTAATTCTAACATTTGTACATTTTTTCTATCTAATGATACATGTAAATTTGATAGCCTAAAATAAATTAATGTATTTTCCATTTAATGATAAAGACCTTTAAATGGGACACCAGATATGCACATATCTTTTCTATTTAAAGAACTTCGAACTTGATGGAATCCTGCATTCTTCATATTCTTAGGACCACAGAATAGTTGCAGACGTTTAAGCGATCTTCAGCTGAGTTTTGGATATCCCTCTTGATCAAGCCAAGTCTGATTTGCTCTTGTGAAATGAGGTCCTTCTTCTGAGAGCTTATGAGGAGGGACAGGAAGTTAAGAGTACCCATCTGGTGGTCTCTGTTTTCTCAGCAAATTCTTATGTGAAGCTGTCTGTTAAAGGAGGTGGGGGTCACATGGGATGAGGATGAGAAAAAAAGTTTTAAAATAACCATATTTGATAATGAAAGATCTGAGTAGATCCATGCTGCCTACTTTAGAGACTCATAAGTGTGTAACATTAAAGCCATTTAAAGTGGAGACAATACTCAAGATGAGAATTCATGTTGAATAGGTAGTTTATATGGTTTTTATATTAAATGTGCACATTTAGTCATTTGAGTATTTGCCATTGATAACGAATATTCTTTGTAGCTGATCACGAGGTCACAGCTCAATGTCAAAGGAGCTTTATTAATAAAGCAATTGAAGCAGTAATTTATACTGCAAAAAGTTCTAGACTCATTTAACATTTATTTTCATTTGCTAGTCAATTACCAGCTGTCAGAGTATATTAACTATTATAAATTTGAGTCAGAAGCTGTCACCCCTAAGTGTATTAACTCTCCCTAATCACATAGGTAGTGATTTGTCCTGTGAAAGAATGATATTAATCACCAACTTACATCTGTCTTCATGATGGTATAAAATTGCCACTGGCTTCCATTGCAGAAGTGAAGTAAATCAATGTAGACACCAAAAATGAAAGCAGACAGTCATGAATCATGAGTATTTCCATTCGTGTTAACAAGCTCCTCATTGTTTCCAGACAGAAATAAATGTCAGCCAACTTTCAAAGCTTTTTGCTTCTTAGTGTTAAAAGTATAGTTGTTTTTTATTATTTTTATTATTATTATTTATTATTATTATTATTACTAGTTAACATTGGTGGAGTATTTATTATGTGCCAGGCACTATGCTCAAAGCTTTATATGAATTATTTCTTTTAATATTCACAATAACCCTGTGAGATTATTGGTTCTCATATTTACGGCTCTTATGCGACCATATCTCATTTTGTAAGGGTAAACCATGTCTCGAAAGACTTGAATAACTTGTCCAAAATGGCAGAGCCTAGAGTCCAACCCAAGCAATTTAATTCCATAACCTTTTCTCTTGACCAGTATTCTACACTGATGGTTGGTGTGACATATTTACTAGGTGAATCAGTTAAGAATGCATTTGGGTACAAAGAACTAAAATCCAACATAGAGTAGTTGACCAAATAGCAACTTATTTTTTTTCTCACTTAACAGAAAGAATGAAGACAGTCAACTACTCACATTGGTTTAGTAGCTCAACGGTACCAGGACCAGTGACTCTGTGATTCCCTGGCCTTTCCATCATGGCTGCAAAAATGGCTGCTGCAGTCTCAAGCATCATATTCATATTTAGGGCAGAAAAAAAGGATGGTGGGAAGAGTTGGCACCAGCCATAAGTGTGTAGTTTATCATGAAAGCAAAAGCCTTCCCGTTTGTATCTCACTGGGCCCAAACTATTTGACATGACCACCCTCATCTGCAAAGGTAGAAGGCAGCAGGGAGAAGGGAAGGGTGCTGAGTGATGGACCAGCCTTGGGTCAAAAGTTATAGAAGCCACAAACTCTGTAGGAATATTTCACTGAACTTCTATTTTTTTTTTTTTTTGAGGAAAGAGCTGTGATTCTCCAGCACCTAATGTACTACTCTTAATGTATTTTTACCTCATTTTCTAGAATGTATTCCTAGATAATAAGAGAAAGCTATAGTTCCACTAACTGAGTCAGGGCTGCTTGGTTGCAAGAAACTATTATATTACTTAAGAAAATAGGTGAATTTCAGTAATTCAACAAATAAATGTATTAAGCACTTATCACATGCCATGTTGTCTTCTAGGCTCTGGGGATACATCAGTGAACAAAACATTTAAAAAAGAAACAGACAGACTCATTGACTATGCTGTAATCTCATGGAACCCAAGAATGTAATAGGGCCTTGAGGAGGGACAGGAACCAGGGGCTGAGAAGCTGTCAGGAATTCAACAACTTTTCTGAGTATATCTCCTTCATTCTGCTCACTCGGATTTCTCTTAATCCTTAGTCGGCATGACGGATAGAATATGGTCACCCTACATTGCCTGAGTTTTCATCTTCTATTCAAGCAACCAACTCAAGCTAAACCAGTCTCTCAATCTCAATCCAAATACTTAGGCAGAAGAATGTGAACCCACAGAGCCCAGGGACAGTGAAAGACACATTGAAAGGATCTACCTTGGGGCGCCTGGGTGGCTCAGTCGGTTGAGCATCCGACTTGATTTCGCCTCAGGTTGTGATCTCAGGGTTGTGAGATCGACCCCGGTGTTGGGCTCCACACTCAACGTCGAGTCTATTTAAGACTCTCTATCCCTCTCCTCCTCCCCCGCCATCTCTCTCTCTCTCAAAATAAATAAGTCTTTAAAAAAGAAAGAAAGAAAGAAAGATGTCTACCTCAAAAGGCAACCTGTTGCTGCTACCCATCCCCAGGCTTATTGGTGCTTTTCTAGACACTCTACCTGTCATCCATCAGAGCTCCCTCGTATCACCCCAGAGATTTGAAAGTTACCTCTGCCTGGAAGAGAACATTTGTTTAGCTCTGTTAAAGTTGCCAGAGTTTTGAACTTTTTCAAATCACTTTGTGCCCTAATGTACTAAATGTTTTCCCCCCACAGCCCTTGTCCCTGTCTTCCAGACAAGGGGACATTTGGGTCTTTGTTAACATCAAACTCCCTTCCTCTCACTTCAGGCCGAGCCCGCAGAAGCCAACACCACTACTAATCAATTTTGTTCCAAAGTACACGTTGAAATGTGGGTTGGTATATTCTTTTATGGCCCTTATGAACTTTAAGCCAGGGAGATATGATTCCTGGTGATTTTTTTTAAAACCTTTTTGTTTCAAACCAATGGGTGTTTTTTCATTCCTGCATATACTGAATTGCTAACCTTCTGCTAATCTGTTTTTCTACAGGTTGTGGATTCGCCTTCCCATGGAGGGGGATGGGCAGGCTGGGGCTCCTGGGGCAAATCTCTGCTCTCATCAGCATCTGCTACAGTAGGTAAGAATTATATGTTGCATTTGAATGGATAAAGTTCAGAAGGCTAATAATAGCATTTGACATTTTGATCATACCACGTACTGATAGAGGCTACCATTAGCTGGCGAGATAATAAGAACAAATCATTTTTAGTGCTTGCTGTTCTAAGTGCTTTGTGTATATTGATACATTTATTCCTCAAAATAACCCTAGAAACAGGTATTTTTGCTTCCTGCATTTTAGAGCTAAAGAAGGTGAATCACAGAGAGGCTAAGACCTTGTCCAAAGTCAGAAGTAGTTGGGTTGAGATTTGAACCAAGTAGTATAGGTTTAACCACTATATTATATTGACCTTAAAATATAAGATTTGAGGTCTTATATTCTTAAAGTGTTGTACTTGTCCTCCCAGCTGAATGTTTTAAAATATACAACTAACCTACTCCCTGAAAGGATTTGAGGTATTTCAATAAAATATGCAGGTACAAAGGGTATAGAATATATATCCCAAGGCTGGTAGAGTTACTGTAATGGAGCACTGACCTTGACTCTGAGTGTCTTGGCTGCCAGTAGATTATCAATTTTTCTTGGAATGATAAACCAAAGCTTAGTTTATCTAGATAAATTTCTTTTCCTGGTGTTACATTTTTGAAGACATTTCTTGTATTGGCTCTGTATATACAAAGAGAAAATATAGTGGGCAATGTCTTCATCGGTACAGGTTTGTGAAAATATTCTTCATGTGACCATTTCTCATGGGCATTCTTTGTGAAAACTGAAGGTGTAACATCAACATGTCTAAGCTGATTTAGCAAGGGCATTTCATCTTGAAGGTGGAGAGCGGGGGGGATAGGGGAAGCCGCCGGTAACATAGCTTTCAGATCATCTAAGTCAGGTGTACTCGAGGTGTAGTCCATGGCTGTTCCTCCTAAAAGCGGGAGGGATAAGAAGGCTGAAGGTCCTTTGTCCCACTCCAATGGACCATGGTCACAGTCTAAGGGCCAGATATCTAACTGGGTAGACCACCTGCAAGAATGGGTAGACTACCTTCCTCTATTTCGTGTCTGGAATGTCAGGGAGCTCTGGCAAGAAGGAGATGGTGGTCAAATAATGTTGGTCTTTGGGGAGGCCCTGGAGAGCAGATTGTTTCTGTTGCTAATTGAAGGAGCCAGGGTGCTGTGGATACTGCCTATGCAGATGGAAAAATCAGCCAAGTTACAGGAGAGGGGCCTGTTTTGTGTTCTGAACAGGACAGAGTCTCTGCAATAGTGAAGATACGTGCCTGGAGGCTCCTGCTTCCTAAGGAAAACATTTGAGCTCTTAGGGGGTCTCACATGGATCTTGCCACCCATAGCATGTAGGAGTGACATGCTTTCTGACCCCAAAACTGTGGAGTCCAAAAGTTTTTGACATTTGATAACTCATAGAACAGTAAATAATATGGTTACCAAATTATACAGCTCTCCTCGTGGTCTATGTCATAAAACGTGAAGTATTTTGCGTACTTCCAGGAGTAATAATGGTGTCCAGAAATGTCCTGGCCTATAATGAATTTGGTGCTTCGAAAAGTTCTATTATAGACAAAGGATTTACTTTCTCATTAAAAAATTAAATATAAGTTCCTTCCCCAGTAAACACTGAAATCACCTGCCCCGTGGGTTGCAGGTCAGGTGCTTTGGGTACACTTACAGGTGCCCCTACCTGGTCATGGTCTGCCATGAGCTCATGTGTTTGCTATTGTTTCTCATCAGTCAGCAGCTACACCTAACCATTTGACTTCAAGCTTCACTGGATGCTTACAAAGTTTTCCATCCACCAACCGACAGCTTGTCTGTTAAATTTACCATCCGTTACCTTCTCAGGTGTCCTGTTGTAATCCGACCTTTGCACAGAGAGAGCCCCGTGTGGCCGTGGCCAGTGGACTGAATTCCACGGCCTTTGGGTTTTGTTACCTGGTTCAAGTGTAACCAGTAGATGATGCTAGATTTACTGCCTAAAAAGCGGGATGTGATTCCTGTGGCGGGTCCACCTCATCGTGGGGGGTACTCATCTTTTAATTTGATCTGAAGCCAGTGTGTTAATTTTATAGGCTGTCTTTGCATTTGTTGTTACTCTTGAAGTTTCCCTGTGTCTAAGGCACCATGAAGATGAGAAATGCTGGATCTTGTTAATGTTGTGACCACTTAAAATGTCTGGTGGTTCTTCCCTAGCTTTGTGCGGTAATTGATCCGGAATAACCTAGAGAGATGACTGTTGTGGACCAGCAGGATCACTGTGCCAGTCACTGGTGCCATATTCCCTTCTATGGTTGGTGCAGATAGACGGTTTCTAAGATTGTATGACATTTGCACATCGCCCCATGAAATATCAGAATGAAGTTCAGTACAACCTCTGGTATTGGTTGCTATTGCTGTATAACAAATTACCACAAAGTTAGAGGCTTACAATAATAGACATTGACTATCTCCGTTTCTGTGCATCAGGAGTTCAGGTAGGGGATAGCTGGGTTCCTTGCCGAGTGACTTACCAGGCTGAGATCAGGGCGTCAGCCAGCTGTGTTCTCGTGTGATACCCAGGGTCATTTTCCGAGGTTATTCAAGTTGTTGGCAAAATCCAATTCCTTGAGGTTGTAGGATTGGCACCCCCATTGTCTTGCTGGTTATTGGCCAGGGGTCACTCGCAGCTCCTACAGGCTGCCTGCTTCAAAGGATAATCTCACCCATGCTTCAGATCTCTCCCTGCAGGAAGAGCCTCATCCCTTTTAAAGTTCACCTGAGAAATCAGGCACCCCCAGGATGATCTCCTTTGACAGACTCAAATTCAACAGACTAAGGACCTTAATTATAACTGAAAAATCCCTTCACATTTGCCATATAATGTCCGCTAATCATGGGAGTGAAATCCCATGATTTTCACAATCCTGCCCACGCTCCAAGGGGAGGGGATTACCCTGGGTGTATACACTAGGGGGCACTCTCTCAAAACTACCTACCCACACTTCCCTCTTATGTTTGAAGTCCTCAGTTATCCCACTAAGTCCAGAAACTTACTTTTTTTATGGCTCTAGCTACATGCTGGAATTTTTAGAAGTATTTAAATCTTGGCATTTTTCTCTTATCTGCACCCACAATGTCCAAAGGGCACATGAGAGAGCTCAAAGAAATTTTGAAATGTTGATGCCTATTCTAAGGATCCTATTAGACAAATTGGAGCTATCTTTAGAAAAGTAGAGTGGAAACTTTTTCCTCACCATTGGTTATCACAACCCCAATGAATGCGAAAGCAATAACCCCGATTACCCTCCGTAAGTTGCTCCTGAGGGATTATTTTGGAGATTTCTGGTCAAGACATGTGTGTCTTAGCAATAGTAGCTAAAACAATAGCAATACATACTTTAAAACTGGGTAAGGATCTCTCTGTGGACATGAGAGAGAACTAAAGCTTGTAGCGTAAGGGGGGGCTGAAGTTACAGGTTCCAAGGCTGAAAACGTTGGTAGTGGTTGGGAGTTGACTCCCCAAAAGATAATAGGGATTGCAAGCATCCCACAAATGGAGAGGTGCCACAGCCAAGCTCACAGCCTGAAACAGAGGGTTGGAATAGCGTTTACAAAGTCATGGGTGCCATCCTGGCTTGTCGCCCATATCAAGCTGCTACCCAGGGATGGAGAGAAGCAAGCCAGGCACAGCTTCTGTTACGTATAGCCAGAACATCCGCCCAAGACTTTGCAGCACTAATAGGTTATTATCATAGGGCAAAGAAACGTATTTGAAAACAGAGCACTCACAGCAGTAGATGAGCTCTTGAAGGTTTATAAATTGCCTGTGGAAAACAAAGAAAGAAAATCACCACATATTCCATCTCAGTTGATTCCGGCTCAGAAACCTCATGTTACCCCCACGGTAATTCCGGTTGCAGACAGGAATGCAAAACACCTAGTCAGTAACAAAACACAGAGCTGTCAACTGAGCACCAGAAATAGAAACCAATACTTTTTTTTATTATTATTATTGTGTTATGTTAGTCACCATACATCACATCATTAGTCTTTGATGTAGTTGTTCCATCCTTCATTGTTTGCGTACAACACCCAGTGCTCCATGCAGAACGTGCCCTCTTTAATACCCATCACCAGGCTAACCCATCCCCCCACCCGAAACCTTCTTACACTTGTTGAAAAACTGCAGTCACAGTAGTTCGAGCTGTGCGGAGTTAGCAGGAGAGCGCTTGGAGAATTGAAACATTTGGAAGTTAGTTCTCTGGGAAAGAGCCCTGGACCAGGAGTCATAAAGACCTGAGGCCTATCCTCACTGCTACTAATGTGTGATCACAGAGGATGGTGACTAACCAGCAACACCATGCACCTAACCTCTTTCAGACTCGGATTCCTTATTTGGAAAAGTGTGGGTGGGGGAAGTTGAGAAATTCTAAGATTCCTTCCAATTTCCGTAACATGATGATGATTCCATAGTCTGTGGCTATATATAGAAGGAAAAATATATTTATAAACCCCTGTGCTAAACGGAAAAATACAAAAAACTGATTGACTTTTTACTGCTCTGTATTTTTGTCTTTTGTCTTTTTGCCTCACTACTTTGACCCCAAGGTTAAGGGAAAATGAGAAAAAGTGACCTCCCCACTGCTTATATGAAATCAAAGTTCTCAGCCAACAACTATTTTTGGAGACACTGTAACTCTTGCATTAGCTTCATCCACAGCTACGCTGTCATCACATTCTAAGAAAACTTGATCACCTGCCGCCCCTGCCTTTCTTTGGGCAAGTTCATAAAATGAAATTAAAATGGTTATTATTTAAGATCCAGGCAGAAACCAGAATGGGAAAGGAAAATATAAAAAAAATTATTATTTTGATGATCATGTCGAAGTGATGCTGTAAGAACCAGATGTGGTTTCCCACCAGCATCTTAGAGACTGACTTATTCCTAGACTATATTGCTAAGCTAAATGATAGATAACCTGACAATCAAAATGAAAGTTGACAATGCTGAAACATATACAAATATAC